CGTCGCAAGCGGGTTGGTCTATCTTGGAGGTTGGTGGGACTTGGCCGAACAATTGTCAGGTCACCTTGGTCGAATTTGGGGTTTCACCGAATTGGTTCAGAACCTCCTTACAGTCTTTGGCGATATCAAATTCCCACTATTTAGTAACATTGGGTCCATCTCGCCACCTTGCCTGGGTCGTGGACTAGCGGCCTCTTGGAGGTTTCTTGGGGTCTCTTGGGTGGCTTCTCGGGGGCATCTTGCAGGCCACTTGGGGCGTCTAGAGGGCCGCTTGAGACCTCCTACGGGCGTCTCGGGGCCTTCGGGGGACTCTTTAGGGCATCCTGGGAGACTTTAAACGGAGAAGGTTAAAGGCGAGATGTATATCGAGCATGCACCGCTGCCGTGCCTGGCTCAAGCCGGGCCCGGCCTAATATGTGATTGTGCCTCACCGAGGCGCACGATTCGTATCTGAGATCGGAAAATACCTTTTCCATTGACGATGCCCATCCTATCCTTTACTCCAGATCCCATGTTTCGTCTTGCTCTCTTGCTCATGCGATATGAGCCAAAGCCTGGGATATGGGAGCGCCTAAGGCGTAATATATATCTAAGCTTACCAGTGCGATTTCGACTTGGTAGCGGAGCTGGCTACACTCTCGTGTGGCTGGCTCTCGCTCTGATACCAGTTATCCACGGCACAACTTGGTGGACTACTACTACGGTGGAATACCATGTTGCGCCGGCTCTGCGAGGAGCGGAGTCAGTCCGCGATCGAGCTAGCGGGGTAACCCGCGAGCTCGAGACGCTCTCTCTTACTTCACTGCGCTACTTCACTCCAGACTTCCACCAGACGCCAATTGGCAACTCGATCGAGAACGTGGTCACCCTGCGGGGCTACCCGCAGCGGGGCCACCTGCATCCCATGCCGGTCAGGCGCCTCACGGCTACTACGCCTGAGCCTGACAAACCACAGCCTAAACCAATCACCGAAGCCGAGATGCACATGCACTGGATTAAGATAACTATCTTCGGCATTTTATGGGTAATATTGGGATGTGCTGTGGGCTACATGCGGCAAGGGATGGACGACACGCGTACTACCGGCCCTTCATGGGACCCAGCCGGTACTACGCCCTTTCGCGAGTATGTTCGCGAAGTACATGCATGGATAAACGTAACGAGCGGCAATATGACGCCACCTCAGCAAGCTGCAGCACTACAACGTGGCCTTCAAGGCCTTGCTCGTCGTATCGCCATGCAGGTCCCCTCCCAGATCATCAACTATGGTGTAACCGTTAACGGACAACCAACGGACGCAGTTACTTACATACTGTACCTATTGAGCACCAAATTTGAGAATCTGGAAGATGAGCGCCAGCTCAACTCTGGCACTGCCCTTATCGACTTCCGCGTCGAAAGGGGCGAACGAATCGACTCAGTGTTAGCTCGATTCGAGATGGCCCGTGACGAGGCTAACTCTGTTGGCTTTGTCATCCCCAACTTTCAGATCCTAACGCTGATCCTTTTCAGAGCGTTAGGCGTTGGCGCGTCACGAGCCCAACACCTGCTGGAGCCCTTTAATCATCAGATGCCCAGAACACAAGCAGACTATGACAGGCTGCTGACCAGGATGAGGAACTACGGACATGTTGCCGAGCGCTCTCCTGGCAATATTGCGGGTATCTTCACAGGGCACCACTCACATGCAGGTGTCTACGCCACGACTGCGGGGTCACCCGCTGGTCCCGGCGAGCCAAGCCCCTGGGCTGACCCAGCCGATATGCCCAACGAGGCCACTGCCTTCTTAGGGCAGACCGGCCAGGCATCGGCAGAGGCAGCTGAGGCGAACGCCTGGTCGAGCTACTCGCCAGGCGCCGCCTACACTGCAAGCCCGCCCTCGGGCACAACCCTCTGGGGCCAAGCGGAGTCATCCGCTCAAGGGTCTCAGCCACCCTCACCGTTTGAATCTGGCACTGACACCGATGCCTCATCTGACGGTGACCGCAATGGCATAGTCTCTGCTGGTAATGATTACCCAGCTGATGACACTCACCTTTCTGAACAACAAAGAGCGGAAGCCGCCTTTATGGCTTATCGCAAATCAAAACGCCGTTGGAGGCGCTTTATGAAGAAACCAGTCAGAAAAGTGAGACGTGCAGTACGCCGACATTTCAAACGATATGGAAAGGGTCGTGGCAAAGGGGGTCGCAGACGCCGTATGCATGGTAGGGGTATTACTGCTTTCCTCACGTCCTTAACTGATATAGTTTTTGAAGAAGTTCTTATCGGAGGCAAAGGTCGGGGTCACAGGCGGACCTCTGGTAAGGGAAAAGGGCGGAGGGGCAACCCTAGGGACGCTTCTGGCAATACTATGAAGTGTCATACATGCGGTAGCACAGAGCATTTGCGCGATCAATGCCCGAAAGGGAAAGGAAAGGGATCCGTACATTTGGCTCAAAACTCTTTTATGGATGACATAGACTACATTGACTACGAGTTTTACGTCAATCCAGAAGCGGCTCCCGCCGCGGGCTCCTCCACGTACTACGTGATGGCCCGCTACGCTGAAGTGACCGTAGCCCTGGAAGACTACGCAGTGACCCTCTTCGACGAGTTCCACGGCTGGGACGAAGTCGACGAGGTCGCGTTCAATGCTTGGTTCGGTCTTCCAGCGGGGCCACCCGCCGACGACGAGATCTCCGAAGCTGAGACCGTCCCGGCGACCGAGGAGGAGCTCGCCGCCGCGCTGGCACCGCAGGTGATTGGCATGCCGTTGCTGCCAGATCTTCCGCGAGCTGGCTCGGAAGCGGGAGACGCTGATGACGGAATTCGGGGCCATCCCGTTTATTCTGACTCTGAAGAGGCCGAAGAGGACCATAAGGACATGCTCCAAGAGCAGGTCGCAGAAGCAATCCAGCTCCTGAGTGCGCCAGCACACCAGCAGATAACCATGAATGACCTGCTGTCGCGCCCAGGGGCCGCAAGGCTGCGTCCATACCTGGATTCGGACATGTCGGCACCTCAGATGCTGACAGCACTCCAGGCTCTAGCGGGGTCACCCGCCGAAGTAACGCCAGCCTCAGCAGCGGGGCCACCCGCTTGGTCTATGGATGTATTCATGCAGGGCTGCGACCAGATGGACCTCAACGACCTCACGATGGAGCAGCTAAACGACATCGGGTACTTCCGAAGCCCGTATCAGCACGTATTCATGGTCCAGGACAGCTCAGAGGACTCGAAGGACATGCGCCATGCCAAGAAGGACAGACGACCATCGCCTCCCCGAGACTCAGAGCACGAAGATGAAAGGCCCATGGAACGTGGCAGTGCGTCAGCGGGGCCAGCCCGCAGGAGGAGCCGTTCAGCTCCACGACGCCCTACACATGATGCATCGGGCTATCCGTACAGCACGGAGCACTCCGTAGGTGCATCCGCTCAGTACGTGCCGGAGTGGTACATCAATTGGTACCCCGGCTACTCGATGGACGTGATCCGCCACTGGTATTCTAAGGAATACTGCACCAAAAGGGACGAATCTGGCATGATAATACGTACCAAGGGTGGCAAGACTAAAACGCCAGAGGCTTGGGACAAAAGGGCTAAGAAACAGGAGATCATCAACGATCGCAAGACATACAGGAAACAAGTATGTCAATGCGAGCCCTTCAAAGGTCACATGCGCAGCTGTCCAATGGACCGCCCCTCCAGGAGCCCTCATCACGGTGAGACCCCGTGGAATTGGTCTCATGGAGATGACGCTGGCAATGTCCATGATCCTAACAAGGAGGTCCCTGGAGGAGGAAAGCGCATCACTGAAGCCGATCGCGCCCCTATGACCGAGGAGGTTGCCAACGCTGTCAGGGAAAATTGGGAACAGCTTCCCAATGACCATCGCCTCAAGGAATGGAACCGCCGATTCCATAAAGAGGCGGGGTCACCCGCAAAATCCAGCGGAGAAGCGGGGTCACCCGCAGACGCGGCGCCAGCCGCTGGGTCCGCGGACGAAGATTGGATAGCTGTTGCATCTGCTGCCGGGTCCGCCGCCGGCACTGACCACACCGAACTGAATGAAGAATGGGCGGCGGAAGACGGCTCAGAGAATCCATTCCCTGATGGATGCGCCTGCTGGTACTACAGCTCCTCGGCGCAGAAGTGGTTTTGCACGAGGGTAATTCACCGCCACGAAAATGGCAAGTACAAGCTGGCCATAAAAGGTACTGCCGACATCGACCAGATGAGGCAGATCATCCATGATCATGGCCAGCCAGAAGGCCCTCCTAAAGACCCTCCTGGTCCACAACCAGGCAAGGGCAGCAGACCACCTCCAAGACCTGAAGCCGACTCCTCGTCTTCACCGACTCCTGCGAAGAGGCGCCCGTCCAAGAGCCCCGAAGGCACACAGGGGCGGGCGAAGGCCAGAGGGGTCGCCAAGACGGACGACCCTGAGCAGGGAGAGCCTATCGGCCCGTCCGCGACGGAGAGGAGGAAGGCTTTTGCTGGACCATCAACCCCGATGCCACCGGCTGCCCAAGGCGATGTCAAGGGCGAAGTTCGCGACCAGCCTAAGGCAGCCTTCCGAGGTGACTGGACTCCAACTCTGCATCAGCCGCGCCTTGCACCACGACCAGGTTCGGCACGAATGAAAGCACAGCCGAAGCCCGAAGCTGGGATGAGGTCGGCGCGGGCAGAAGCAGCCGCCAAGGCTAAGGAGGACAAGGGCTCTGCGGGGCCACCCGCTAAAGCGGCGCCAGCTGCAGCAGCGGGGACACCCGCAGAAGGCACTCTCTCAAGAGAAGAACGCTTCAAAGTCCTCAAAGAATTTGGCGACCGACAGAAACTAGCCGATGATGCAGTGGCTGACCAAGGTCACCCGCACCCTGGCGCGGAGTCATCCGCTGGAGCTGCCTCGTCAGCCGCAGGCTCTGCGGGGCCACCCGTTAAAGCGGCGCCAGCTGCATTAGCGGGGCCACCCGCGCGCTGGCAGCCAGTGATGTCTGTTCTCAGGAACATCCCGCTAGGAGCCATTGAATATTGGCAAGGCATTGAAGGCAAAGGCCCGAAGCGCACCATAAACCCACGAGTCACTCGAGACGATACAGATCGATACGAGGTCATTAATTGCCCTGATCGTCGTAACTTCGAGTGCCGCAGCGACTGGGAACGTGAACAACAAGCCGTGGGAAATATGTTGCGAGACAGGCCGCCATTGCGCGTCGCGCAGCACAGGGCAGAGCTCATGAAGGTCATGGAGAGGTTCGGCACGGATCCGACTCTGCCGCGCGATGCGCAAATGACCAAAGTGTCAATATGGTTCTCTACAGCCCTACGCCATAGTCCGTATTGGAAGGATGGATTCAGCCGACACTTCGAAAAGATTCGCACTTTCGATCCATACGATGGCTGGGTTGTTGTTGACGATCTGCTGACAAACTGGACTGAAAATGATCAGTGGAAAGGCTATCGTGAAATGCACGAGGTGCTGATCAAGGGCAGGCCCCACACGTCATACGTGTATTGGGTACTGCTAAACTGCTGTGAGATGATTGACAATCACGGCATGCAGAAGGGCAGGCTCCAGATGAAGTGCGTTGATGACAGCATGCTGCTGCCTCCCAGGTTCCGACCAACGGCACGCAGGCCACAGTACTTCATCAGAGCCACGAACGGCCACAGCAGTCCAGGCATCCACTGTCCCGAGTCGCTTTATAAGCCGATCACAACATGGATGAAAGAACCAGACGACCCAGTATATTTCATCCACGGGACACAGTGGGAATATGTCAAGGACATCCTTGCTAATGGCCTTTCATGCCTCGCACAGGACAACCCTAAAAGGAAGGGGGGGCGCCAATTTGTACACGGCTGCCCCTACCTCCCGGGCGACCCGAGGATTCAATCGGGCATCCGTCCTGACTCGGAGGTGCTCATATTCTGCAGCATCAACAAGATGCTGTCCAGTGGCTTCTCCCTATGGAGGTCAGCAAATGACATCGTCATGACACGGGGCCACGACGGACGTATACCGCCCGATCATATCCTCCAGATTGTGAGCATTGCGAAATATCGGGTCGGTGAAGCCTGGAGCAATCCGCTGGCTTATGACAAGTCGCGGAGGCGGGGCCAACCCGCGGACAGGATTCGCACCGATGACTACCTGCCACTTAAATTATGTGACAGAACTCTGGGTGTAATGGAAGATCACGCCATGTACCTAAAGGGCTGGTCTAAGACGGACGGTCGCCCATTCAATTTGATCATGACCGAGCAAGATGTTGCTCCACGACCGTACGACACACAGACAGTCCTCATGATGAATGCCCAGGAAGACGAGGTCATGCCTGAGGCGGGGCCACCCGCAGGTGCGGGGTCACCCGCGGCAGACACCTCGGATGGTTCATGGCAACAAGTGGTCACACCAGTAGCAACGGTAGCATCTCCTTGGAGGCCGGATCAGCAGGCATGGGTCCAGGCCCTCAACAGCTACCTGACACCAGCCGACGTTTCTGGACTGACCGATCAGCTATATCGTGCTGACCCGTGGGCAGTGCATACAGGTATCCAAGACGCACAGCAGAGGAACCTGCGCACTCCTGCGGGGCCACCAGGCGTCCTAGGACCACAGCCACAACGCCCTCCGCAGCAGGCTGGAGGTGCGAGGTTTGTCCCTATGGGCGGCTCAGATGGTGGCTCGCCGTTTCGGACTCCGCCGTCTGAAACGAGCGAGAACAGCTTGTGGCAAAGACTCCAGGCGATTCGCGGGAATCCGGCACTCGCAGCAGCACTCCAGGCAACCACTCCCTTTGGCACTCCGAGGGGTAGTGAAGGAGGAGTGGCTGCGGGGTCACCCGCCGAGCGAACGCCTGCGGAGCCACCCGCACATGCGGGGCCACCCGCTGACGGACAGCAAGGTTCAGACTACGAACGTCGGGCAGCCAACCTAAGAGCACAGGCTACTTTTCTGCAGCAACAAGCTGATAGAGTGCCCAGCCTGTTGCGGAACCGCAACATAGATGTTACGAATCATGGCGACTTTCGGCCTCTCTGGAGCTGGACTTCTGAAGATGCTCCAAATGCTGATCCCACGAATCCATATCGACAGGTGTTTATTCCAGGAATAGCATCACACCCGATATATGGATGGGACAATCACGGTCCAGCAGAGGCACAGGCCATGGACGCGCCGATGTACCCGGAGTACTACGCGCAGATGAATAACACTCCTATGATTGCGGGGCCCCCTGCGAACGAATACACTCGGAATCTAGCCAATGAGATGTTTCGTTTGCAGTTTACACGAGCGGTCGATGCGCAGTCTATGCCGCACTACGCCTACATGCCCACGCCGACGGACCCCGAGACCGTAGTTCAGCCAGCTGGTCTCGCGGTGCCAGCCGCTATGGGCAACGTGCCAGACTACATCCGCGACGTGCACAACACGCAGCAAGCGATACTGGCATCCAGGCAGCAGGCTCGGGACAACACCAGGCTGCGCCAACAGCGCGCGATCCAGAGAAGGATTGAGCGTGAGACCCAAGCGGGGACACCCGCAGAAGCGGGGCCACCCGCTGAACGGCCAGACAGACGGCCGCCACCGACGCCATATCGGGAGGGCGAAACCACTTTCGAGCGCCAAGCTCGGACTCGCCCTGACGTGCCTGCTCCAGTCATTTCAGACTACAACTTCACACAGTGCCCAATCTGCATGGACAACTACGAGATGGGCACTACAGTGTGGAGACTGGCGTGTTGGCACTTCTTTCACGGTATATGCTGGGATCGTGTTGCACAGCAGCACGTCCGCAATCAGCGGCCAGGTGCGCCGAATGAGGCCCCCTGCGCTGTATGTCGTGGGCCGGGCATAGTTATAGCACACTTCCCGTATGCTGGACAGCGCGACGCTGAATCAGAACAAGCGCGCCAGCAGGAAAGGCACGTGGCAGATGCCCGGGAAATGCGTCGGCTACGTGAAGCAGTGGAGGCACTGGAGGCTCGAGCCGCACAATCGGCGGAGCCATCCGCACGTGCCCCAGCTGCACAGGCATGCCCCTGGCCAGCGCCAGAGCAAGGCATTCAGATGCCAATCCTGCCTACGCTTCGAGCGCAGGAGCCCCCAGCTGCGGGGCCACCCGCTGAAGCGGCTCCCGCCGCACAAGCGGGGCCACCCGCAAATGGACCTCCAAATCCAGGTTTCCTGAGGACAATGGAGGCCAACATCAGGCGGAGTGGCAGGAGCGGAGGCGGGACTCGAAGGCCAACTGGATCAACCAGGACCTCGCGAGTGGCAAGCCCGGTCAGCGCCAGGAGCCGGGCAAGCGCTGAGAGCGCAGAGGCAGCCCAGTTCCATACCACATTCATGATCGATACAGAGGGGCTGACCTACGCACGTGACGACACGGACACGCTGCCACCAGGAGGTGAATGGATGTCCACGCTATCTGCGAATTATTGGGTCCTTGAGCAGGAACCAATTACCGTGGAGGAGCGCCGCCAGTATGAGCAGATGTGGTGCACCGAGCTGACCATGAGTCAATGGGTTCTTGAACAGCGCCTGTTGAAGGGTACACTCGGATCGCAGATCACGTACCACACCAATGACCATGGGACAATCGCTCTGGCAGCGCGCAATGGGGCATTCTTTCCTGACGAAGATGGTATGCCCTGCATCTCGTTAGACATTGGTTCCAATGTGAACATCATTGGATCCAATACGGCGCGAACCTTCCAGGAGATTATGGCCAGGTTCAGCTACCGACCTGCCATATGCACCCTGAGCAAGACCCTCTACATCAATGGTGTTGGTGAGGGCGCTGCGATATGTCGGAAGATGGGCAACTTCAAGATCGGGGTACAATATGCCAATGAGGCGAGCCCCCGTATTGAGGAGTATGCCTCCAACATCGCAGAAGGCTCGGGTGCCAATCTCCCGGCCATCTGGGGCCTAGGAGCCATGGAGGCACGTGATACGATCATCGTGCTGAAGCCAGGCTACCAGAAGGTTATCTTCCCCAGCGGTGACTACACCCTGAAGCTGGGAAGAGGCGCCAAGGTCCTGAAGGCGAAGAAAACTCCCTCGGGACATCTCGCGATTCCCTGCGGTTTGTATGACGGGGCTAAAAGCCAGACGGTCACGAACACCTTCACAATCCGCAGCAGTCGAGATGGCTATACCGAGACGGAGAACGAAGAGGACCCCGTCAGTGCGGGGCCACCCGCCGAAGCAAGTGCGGGGCCACCCGCCGAAGCAACAGCGGGGCCACCCGCGACGGGACAGTCCATGACCGTCACGACCGATACGTACATTGTCGAGCCGTACATCGACAAGCAGCTCCTGGAAGACACGACCCGTTTGATCGTGGACAGGACGCTGAACAGCTGGTGGGAGGGCCAACAGTGTCCCGAAGGGACCTGGCCACATATGAAGGATGCTCTGAAGTCTAAGATATTCTGGGCAGTCCAGGAGGCGGTGAATAAATGGACACCTGAGGACCAAGCGGGGCCACCCGCGTCACCGCCACCACCACCAAGCTACACGGGCGGAGGTTCGTCGGACTCTGCGGGGCCAACCCGCGCGGAGATCGTGAGCGTAGCCACACCAGCGACTCCTGCGGAGCCATCCGCTAACAGCATGCCTCCGAGTCAGACGGCAACGTGGTCACACGACCGCCGCTGACGGGGGCAGGCGGGCGCGCCGGCGGCGCTCGCTTGCGAAGAGAAGCCGAATGCCGGCCTCCTCGCTACATACGTTGGCCGCGCTGAGGCCCGAGAGGAAAAATATCATTCAAAATGTCTTGTCATCGAAGATATTCGCACAGCTTGCGCTGAACTCCGAACCCGTGGATATATATGCGACCGGATTACCCATAATGAGGTAATGACTTCAACTGGAACACAGTATTTGGGAAATTTGTTGGCAGGAGACTACAATATGTTGTGGGTGGCCACACCCTCTGATTGGTACGTTCGTACTCCAGGAAAGAGGGCGGGACCACACTATCAACGTATACAAAATCTCCTGATCAAAGCGCGTGCTCTGAGAATGCAGATTGTTATCCTGGGGCCACCCGGGTATTTCTGGAAACAGGGTCCGATCAAAGATGTTATCGAAGATTTGAAGCTAAGCATTATACGAATGAGACTCTGTCATTTCGGTATTAAGTTTGACCGCTCCAGCAAATATCCCAGTGGTTCTTATATACAAGTTGCTACATCTTGTCCTCATATACCGATAAACTTATGGAGATGTACTTGTGGCTCACACAAAGAGCATGATTTGGATTGGTATCAAGATCAGCAACGTGCCGAGTTTCGGCATAAAACTTGGCTATCATTATTGCACGCTTCCTTGATCAACTCAATAAAGCCAACATGATCAGGAATGAGCGGAGTGCGGTACACCTCAGTGTGTGTACTCGCGTTGACAAAAAGGTAAGACACTACGTCCAATGTCCACAAAAGGGCCCTCAATGGGACCATGTTGTTCGTAGAGTCACGACCGACCTGGACACGAATAAGATCGTTCAAGATGTCAGAATCCAGGATCAGCCAACTGGGTACAATTGTGTAGCTCCATTACCTGATGGGGTTACAAACATCAGTACTCGGTTATACTGGGAGCCTCCGGCTCCAGTTCTTCACGGCGACGGTGAGTCGCGAAGGCCACGCCCAAAGCGCGTGACGATCGTCGATGACGATCGATCTCCTCCCCCTTCGATTGAGCGTTGCCAAACGCGACCCACCAACAACTTTCCTGAAATTCCGCCATTTCCTGACTTAGCAGCGGATTCCTCCGCAGCGGATCTCTCCGCGGAAACTGCGTTGCCCACTGATGCCAGGATAAAACAGAAAGAAAAGCAGAAAGCTGACAAAGAGGCCGGCATCAAACCGAAGAAAATCCCGAAGAAAGTGGAAGACGGTAACGACGACTGTGGAGAGGACCTCAAAGGGCTTGACTGCTCCACATATTTCAACGACGTTCCTCTTGACGACTCGGACTCGGACAGCGAATCAGAGGACATCTTCATGATGTTACCGGCGGGGCAACCCGCTGACTCACATGCTGATGTCTTCTCGATGGTCCAGTCATTATGCTACGGCAGAAACAATCAAGTGGACATGCTTGAATTATGTGGGGGCAAGGGTGGTATATCCATATTAGCCTTCAAGAGGGGACTCTCGTCAGGCGGGAACCTTGACAAGATATCTATGGTTGACCTTGGAAACTCGGAAGTACAAAGAGCAGTCCTCCACTACCTCAAGACTTGCTTTGTCAAGATCACGATTCTGCAGCCAAGCTGCAGAACTACTGGACTTCCTTCCTATTTCAATGCACAGGTCAATCATGATACGTGGCTTAAACACCACAAAGAGGACCTGCCTCATATCACGTTCTGTGGAACAGTCGCTCTATTACAAGACGACCTAAGACGTTTCTTTCTCAGGGAACAACCAATGGGCACGTGGGTGGATGAGATCCAGCCATGGAAGGAACTGGCACAACGCAAGGTCACTTGCCAAACGATTATTGATCAGTGCACGACTGGTCTCAAAGATTCGTTTGGACAATACATCCGCAAGCCAACACAGATGATGGCAAACAAAGAAGAGTTGTTGGCACCTTTCAGAGGCAAGCGTTGTCCAGGTAATCATGTGCACGCCAATGCTTGCAACAAAGAACTAGCAAGGGCGGCACAGTATACCTACAGAATGCAGTCACTGATCGTTGATGCGGTGCAAATCGCCAAAGATCTGTTTGCTTACGGTCGCGATCCATTCGCGAATCGCGAACGCAGCTATGCGTTCGTAACAAACAGTGCTGGCTACGACTTGGACGACCCAACAATCCGGAGACACCCAAACGGAGAAATCTGGCGACCACCACCTGGCGGTCTTGGGTGCCATGGCTGTGTGGACAACAACTACAAGCAATCACCAAAGCACAGCAGGGATCCGAAGATGTGTCGGTGGTATGATGTTGAACCATACTACTGGGACTGTCCAAGCTGTAAGAAGGAATATCAGAAGAGTAATCCTCACCACACCAAGATATCTGGCCAATGCAGATTCGCCGAAAAATGGAAGCTGCCAGATAACTTTGGCCAGCCGCGCCCGGCGGGGCAAGCCGCTCCTGCGGCGCCAGCCGCGGAAGCGGCTCCAGCCGCAGAAGCGGCGCCAGCCGCAAAAGCGGCGCCGGCCGCGAGAGCGCGCATACGCGCGCCTAGGCCGCCACGGCCCGGTGAGGGCGATCCAACCGCAGGCGCCAGCAGCCATGACATCACCAGAGCCGAAGGGGCTAATGGTGGCAACGCTGGCGCTGGCAGCTCTGACGATCACCGTAGACTGCCGCAAGTGGCAGCAAGGCGCGGACGCATGGAAGGAGGTGATCCTCCACCGCCGCCGCAGCCTCCTGTAGAGCCGAGGCCAAGGCCAAGGCTTCCTGATTGGACTCGTTTCGATGTTCAGCTCAGCCTTCAAAACCTGCGCAGCTTTGACCCAGCTGTAGTGCAGCGAGAACTCCGCAAGCTTCACTTGAGATGGTTTCATGCCAAGGAACCAAAGATGCGGATGATTCTAGCTAAGGTTGGTTTGGGCGAAACCCGTTTGAGTCTGATTAAGGGCATTTGCGACTCGTGTAGAGAATGTCGCGCCTGGGACAAGCCAGGCAACACGGTGATGCCATCTGTGTCACTGCCAGGACATTTCAACGAGGAAGTCGAATGTGATCTTTTCTTTTACAAACAGGAACATATTGTTTTTCACATCATCGACCGTTGTATTCGTTGGGCAGCTGGTACAGAGATCCCCGATAAGACTATGCACGCTGTTCTCGATGCCTATCACACAACTTGGATGCAGCATGGCCCTGCCAAAGTCCTATACTCCGACGGGGAAGGAGCGCTGAATAACGATACAGCAAAGGCCATCCTTAAATCCAAGGGAACAGAGCTTCGTATCCGAGCGCGTGGCCAACACGCCACGACTATCGAAGCTAGGAACGGCATCCTGCGACACCTCGTACACGTGATGGGAGAAGAATTGAATAGATTGAATATTCCTCTGAATTTCACTCGTCTTTTACATGAAGCCATGTTTGCCAGCAACGCATTTACCTTCTACAACGGAGTTTCTCCGTATAATGCGTTATATGGCAGACAACCAGCTATGCTTCCCGATTTCCCTGTCTTGGATCATGATCAGTCCGCTGAATCATCAGATCACTCAAGGGAGGAGACAATCAGGAGGGTTAGTCTGGAGGCAATCACGCAGGCCACTGCGGTTGCCAAGACAAACAGGGCTCTTCGTACGAAGACTACTGCTACGGGTGAATTTCACTACAGAGAGGGAGATCTCGTGGACTATCATCGCCCGACCACCACGAAAGATGACTGGGGTGGATGGAGTGGTCCATACCCGGTCATCCGCAACGAACCTGACCGGGGTCAAGTCATCGTGAAGGTCGGCAGTCGCGAAGTGCGAGTACAGTATCCTGACACACGACATACGCTGTACATCGAAGCACTGATGGTCCGCGAGATAGGATCTGACAATACGGCCCTTCGGACAGTACTGGCCTTTATTGCCGGTCTGTCAGCGGGGAAACCCGCCATGACTTTTGGATACTTACCAGCGAAACAGGGCCGGCTGCAGATGCCTGCTGCGAGCCGGCTTTCGCCTAAAGTGCACTTGGCTCTTCAGTATCTCATTCGCAACTATTTTCGTATTGAAAACGTTGTTGCCGTACGACTTGCTAAGAGCCTGACTAAGTTGCCTGCTGCACCCTATGCAGACAGCTGTACACTAGTGCACTATGATAATGATGTGACCCCTGGCTTTCATTATTATGAAGCTGATGGCACCGCCTTGAACATCTACGACATCACAGGATCTACACACTCACGCATCATCCAGTGTCTCAAATCCAAGAAGCCGCCTGCTGGATTCGACCGAGACCTCACTAAATTTGAGGAACTCGCTGATGGTCCACCACCAAGCGAGTCACCTCCAGCAGCTGCTCCTGAGCAGCCTCCTGCGGAGAATGATGGTCGGCTCCCGACCATCATAGAGGAAACAGAAGAAGATCTGGATGCTTTTGTCTTAAAGTCGTGGTATGCTGAACTGATGGATGACAGAACACTCTTTGAAGCTGACACAGAAGAAGTCATGCATACAGTTCCGACATACATGACAGACACACAGTGTGTGTTAGTCTCTACGACCTGTGAAGATGCGCAAGGCCACTTGCCGGAGCGGGGTCACCCGCCAGGATACGACATGGACACTTCTTACTACGTTCCTTTGTGCTCCACGGATCCGGACAACAAATATGATCTGGATTCCGACGAGCACGGGAAGTACATCGAGCTCTGCTTCACAGCAGACATGTCCAAAGTCGTCCTGTCCGAGCAGCAACACCGATTGCTGGATGACAGCAGCGTCACAACTATGCGAGTATATGTTAGTGCTGCCTCCAAACGTGCCGTGGTCGTCAAGGAAGACGATCTACTCACGAAGGCCGACATTCAAGCGAATCCGGTCAAAGTTTCCAAAGCCCTCTACACAGAATTGAAGACTTGGCTTGACAACAAATGCTTCCAGATGACTGACTTGAACAAAGCGTCGAACATCATGACTTCACGCTATGTATACAAATGGAAGTTTGTCAAGAACGAGAAGGGCGAAATGGAACGGACGATCAGGTTACGCTTGGTACTCCGTGGCTTCATGGACATTGAAGCCTTCGATGTCGAAACCTTCTCTGGCACAGCAAGGAGGTCAAACCAGAGACTGCTCGCAAGTTCTGCTGCATGCAAGCAAAGCTTGGATCATCGCTTCCCTGGACATCAACATGGCTTTCTTAAAAGGACTGACCTATAGTGAGCTCGCCGCGGCAACGGGCGAGAAAGAGCGTGTGGTGTGCTTCACACTACCTCCTGGGTCAGCAGCTGTCCTTCGTACATTGCCAGGCTTTGAGTCATATGACGAATCAAAGCACTGTCTTCGGTGTCTGAAGCCGGGGACTGGCACGAAGGATGCTCCCAGGGCATTCTCGTTGAAGCTCAGGTCCATCACTAGGAGCTTTGGACTACAGCCTACTTCATACGACGAAGAGTTCGAGATGAGCCCAAACCTCTTGACAGCCAAACACGTTGATGACATTAATATGACTGGGAAGGAAGATGCTATTGACAAGTATGTCAAGTGTGTTGAAGATACGTTTGGAAAGTGTAAACTGAACAAGCACACATACACAAACTGTGCCGTTCGGTACAACAAGACCGATGATGGGAGCGTCACTCTCGATCAGGACGAATACATCAAACAGCTTCGTCCTATCACACATCCAGAACTCACAGGCGCTGATCCTGAGAGCAAAGCGACAAAGACGATTTCTGATATGTTCGTCAGTCTTCGCGGCGCTCTAGCCTATGCGTTGATTACGCAGGTATGGCTGATGGTCTATGTTGTCTCACTACAACGTATCCAGGAACCGACAAACATCCAGGTACGACGACTAAACGCGGTTACCAGGAAATTGCAGGCAGGTCCGAAGAAGATCGTGTATCAAGCTATGACTCCAACAGGAGAAGTCGACCTGCATAGCGATTCTGGCTATCGTCGTCTCAACGGAGATGAAGACGACGAAGTCAAAGGCTATGGTATCCGCGGGGCTAACCTGCTGAGGCGTGGCCACACGCAAGCGGGGAAACCCGTCGTGCACCTGGTGGACGCATACTGCAAGTCTCATCGACTGCAGGTGCGTTCGAGCTACTCTGCGGAAACACTGGCAGCAGCCCACAACTTGGAAGACTGCTACCCGACCATTGTAACGCTCCACGAGCTACACTCGGGACCATTGACCCCCACACAGTTAAAGAACATATTGGAAATGGGTGGTCTATGTATCAAAGTCACTCTGACTATTGATGCCGAGTCTGTCTTCAAGTCTTTGTCTAGCAAAGATCTGAAGAAGCCCACAGAATGTACTCTGCTTGGGCACATCAGCTGGATCCGCCAGATGATGGAACGCGGAATCGTTGAAAGCGTCCAATGGTGTGACACGCGGGATATGACTGCCGATGGTCATACCAAAGGTAGTATTGACCGCGCGTTGCTCCTACAAGTAATGGCCGGCCAGCAATCCTTCAAGCACGAGCTGAAGAAACATACACCGTATAGGGCGGGCAGGTCGTCTCAAGACGGCCCTGCCTCCCGAGCTAGCGGGGAAACCCGCATGCAGGTGCGCTTTAGTAGCGAGGAAACTCGCCGGTAGCGAGGCTACTCGCGCGCCCTTACCTTGTAGGCAGCCGCTGTTGCCTAGTACTGGTTTTTCCGCGTAATGTAGTAATGCGGTGCTCGCTCGTCTCCTCCCCCTCCGACTTTAAACGGAGAAGGTTAAAGGCGAGATGTATATCGAGCATGCACCGCTGCCGTGCCTGGCTCAAGCCGGGCCCGGCCTAATATGTGATTGTGCTTCACCGAGGCGCACGATTCGTATCTGAGATCGGAAAATACCTTTTCCATTGACGATGCCCATCCTATCCTTTACTCCAGATCCCATGTTTCGTCTTGCTCTCTTGCTCATGCGATATGAGCCAAAGCCTGGGATATGGGAACGCCTAAGGCGTAATATATATATCTAAGCTTACCAGTGCGATTTCGACTGGGAGGGCTCCAGATGTCAGCTCGAGCTGCCTCTCCTGTGCACAACCAGGGGGGTTCTGACAGTTTTGGCCTCTGAGGCCAGCCCCGAGAGCTTTTAGTATCCCAGGGAGGCCTCTGGGAACGTCACGCGATGATTCTCAAAAGTCACGCGACGAGCCCCAAACCCAAGAGGTCACGCGAGAAGTTGTGGAAGCATCTGTGAGATCCGGGTCTGGGCCCCAGAAAGAGTTTGTGTATAACGCAGAGGATTCGAAGTGACCTGAGGACACTCCACTGAGTGCTTACGGCACGATGGCGGGTTCGCTTGTAGGGTGGAAGGGTACTCAAAAGGTGAAATCACCAAGGGAAGCAATAACAAGCCCGATGACCAAAAAGGTCGATGGATGCAAAGTTGGCGACAGGATTTGCGTAATGTTAAGGGAGTGGAGCATGCAAGCTTGTTGCTCACCACTTGGAATCTCTTGTCAGAGCCCTCTTACAGCGTATGGCTGGCTATGGCTGTATACGAGTGCATCATGCTGCTCGAGTGCGTAATGGCCCACTTAGTGTTTGAGTTCTTTGAAAATGACATCGGTGCGGAGATGGACGCCAGAACAGGAGGAGTCGCGGCAGACTTGGGGGAACAAGAACACTATGACGACAAGATGTATAGTGACACCGTACACTCGCAGCCGCTGCCATTTACGCGCCGGAGCCTGAGGCATATCATCAGGACTTTGAACTTCGCATTTGTCATGGACCATTCGCGCTTTCGGACTGGTAATCTTTTCCCAGACCTCGTCATGTTGAACGATTATAATGACGGGGATACCGTGAATATCAGCAGCAGCAGCAGCAGTTCTGACTACGACTCCAGCGTCGAAGACAACAGCAGTGGCGGCGATCCTTCGGAGTCTTCCATATCGCGCCGCTCCGTTTCTGTTGTGATGGAGGCAAAGAGTCTGCGCAGTCTAGAGCGACACCGCACGAAGAATCATGCGAGCGAGGCCAAGTTGAGAGCCAGAGAGTGGTCCAACCAGAAGCGTCGTGATTGGGTCGCTAGCATCGCGGGCCTGAGACGGATTGTTTTTGAGACCACCTACTCTCCCATTACGAGGTCGTTGATCCTCGGCGTAGCAATTATTAAAGTCCTCCTCCATCTGTATTGGCTCAGGTTCGTCGGAGACGTTGATGATCCGCAAGGCGTAGAACATGCGACCCTGCAGACGCCCATGTTAGTGGTCATGGCTAATTGTTTCTCATCGTTCATTGGGGCTGTACTACCGTGCGTTGTCTTATTCCTCTTGCTTCGCGGGTGCACGTCCAGAGCGCGTAAAAGTCTGAGCGTTACGACAGCGCTTTATGGCAAGATCCGGAGACTTTTGGGAGGTGTCCTGGGGTCTGTTGCGGAGCTTCTTGGGGCCTCCTGGAGGGCTGGGGGTGGCAGGGCATCTTGGGCTCTTGGGGGCTTTCGAGCTTCCTAGGGACCTCTTCGGGCCTTACTGGGAGCATCGTGAAGGCTTCATGGGGCTGTCTTGAAGGTCTCGTCTTGGGGCCTTATTGAGGGCCTCTTGGGTCTTGGGTCGTGTTAGGAGCCTCTTGGGCCGTCTCGGGGTTTTCTTGCAGGCCGGGTGGGCCGTCTTGCGGCGATCACGGGCGCAGATTGGAGCGATTTGGTTTCGCAAGGCCGAAAATTAGAGGAGGGCCCTCTGGTGGCGTCCTGGGGACCTCCTGGGCAGTTTCGAGGCCATATTGGGCCGCCTTGAGGCTCTAAAGCGTGCTTGCGGCGCTGAGGCAAGAACCACAGTTTGAAATGGAACCGTCCCCCATGCGTGCAGTCATTGGAAGCCTTGAAGACGAATGTGAGCAGCGCTAGGGCGAATCTGCTCGGCGCTGAGGCGAGAGCCACATTTGAAAAGGAACCGCCCTCCATGCGTGTAATTGCTGGACGCGTGTTGGAACTGTTTTGCGGTGTGCTTGGGCGAGGGCCAAACTTTGATTCCCCCACGATCCGTGTAACTGTTGCGGCCTTACCGCCCTCATTGCGTGCTTTTGCGGGAAGCGTTTCGGACGAACATTGGTGGCGCTAGGGCGACAGCCACATTTTGGAAAGGATGCCATACCATCCGTGTGAGTGCAAGGAGCTTGTAAGACGAATGTGTGCGGCGCCAAGGCGAGAGCCGTATTCTTGAAAACCACCACCACCTTGTGTGTAATTGGTGGAAGTGTTTATGCCGAGTGTGCTCGGCGCTGAGGTGAGAGCCGCATTTTGGTCCCCGTCTAGATGATTGAATGTTGCCAATGCCAGGCTCCGGGGCCAAAAATGGGGAGGACAGGCGAAACGCCCGGCCGCCCTACCGACAAGTTTGGCGGTCAGACGAGGAGGTGCTACCTATAAGCAAAATGAGCGGCGGAGGAGGAGGAGGAATAGAAGAGGCAGGTGGAGGAATAGGGTGGCGGAGAAGAATCCGGTAGAGGAAAAGGAATAATGGGAGAAGGGGAGCGGGCGAGGCAGTTGGAGGAGGTTTGGGGGGAAGAAGGGGAGAAGGAAGAACAGAGAAAGGAGTGATGGGGAGGGTGAGGATGAGGGGGCGGGGAGGATGAGGTGGGTGAAATGCTAATACAAATGAGTATTGTGCGCGCGTCGCTCACTGGACGACGGGGCGTTTGCTTGCGATGCAATCGCCCCCAATTGCCGAGGAAAACTGTCTGTCCTTCTACTGCAGTGTCCTGTCTCCCCTTCTTCATCCTCCACCGATGGGCGCGCATTGGGCCTTCATTGCTGGCAGAGCTCCTTCATCTTCCTGCCCCTCCTACATCCGAAGGCCCGTAACCATTTTGGCTCAAGCCATCTTGGCTCAAGTAAAGCATTTCCCAAGGCAGCTGGACGTTCTACTTCTTTCTTCCAGATCTTCGGCCCGCCACGGCTACCCAGCCAGCGGTGTCAGTCCATATTCACAGAATGAAGCACACGTTCAAACAACAAGTACTTCACATAGTTCAGTTGCAATTCATTGTCGTGGTCTCTCTCTTGGCATCGGACAGGCAATTCGAGGCATTGTATGCCTGAACGCTTCTGCATGAACACCGCCAGCGACTCTTCACGCAGCGATCCCTCAAGTCGATGCCAAGCTAGTGGACATAGAGAACGCCGTGAGCGCCGACGAGACAAAGAGCGTCGACACGATTGCGGCACAGACCGAGACCATGAACGAGACCGCCGCCGTGAACGGGACCGACACCAGCATTCTTCTTCATCTTGCGACGCACATCCTCGACCCAAAGGCCACAGTGGACGCTCAAAGGGCCAAGTTGCTCAACAGGCCCCTGCAATATTCCATTCAGCAGGATACCAGGGAGCATGGCAGCGCACAGGGAGCATGACAGCGCGCACAGCTGGAAGCACTGGATTCAACAGCCAACTTCCCTTCGCGGGAGCAGCGTGAGCAGCTTCAAGCACAGGCAGCGTAGCAGACCTGGCACCTACGTTCCCTTCTCAGGAACAGCGAGACTGGCTGGCACGTCAAACAGCTTAAGCAGCCCGGCGGCCGTCTCCAGTGACCGCAGCGAGTTCAGTTTCCGCAGCCCATCAGTCTACGGCCGTGGCAGGACTTCCAGCAACGCCTATGCCAGATGCAGGTACAGCTACCCCCGTGGGAGGCCCACACCAGCATCTCTGGCCACAGCCGGCGCCCGCCCCAGACGTACAGCAGGAACTTCAACAACTGATGGAAGCTCAAGTCACAAGTATTACAACAGCAGTTGGCATCACTGTCGCCGCTTCTCAATCTCTATTCCTGGCAGCCCTACAGCGCCACGAAGCAGCTACTACCCGCAGATTGGATGAACAAGAACAGGCTCTCATGGCCATCAAGACCGCTCAAGCCAAACAAGAAGCACATCACAAGGAGGATTAGGGCGCCATCAACCGCAGCAATCAGCAGCTCAGCCTCTCCGAAGCCGACGCCCCCATGCTGGGCATGGCCGAACTATCTGTTTGGGATCGCGAGCCAGACCCGTCAGTCTTGGTTCTCTCACGCGCGCAGCCCGTCGCCACATAAGCAGTTCACGACTCCATCACCGAGTGGTTGGTCGCAGCAGAAATCGCAGCGCTGCGTTGACAGGTTCACGACGAATGCCCCAAGCGCACACTCATTCGTCAACATGTCGGAGGTCGAGAGGCGGCAATCCCGCGAGCATTCGCATTGGCGTGTGCACTTCAACTTCCAGGCAGAAGGGGGCCACCGTGGGTCCACAGTCCAGACTCTGCCAGAATGCGTCTTCAATCAAAGCCGGTACGTCCCGCGCCACGTCAATCCAGATACGAATCTCCGACGCATTCGGTTTGGAGACTCAAACCCAAATTTTTCTCGCACTCCGCCAGCGCCGCTACCCTGCGCGCAATTGGCGCGCGCGTCGCGATCAAGGGCGCATCTTCTACAACACCACCCCCGCCGCCGAGTTGAAGCTCGCTGGCACGGGCGCAGCAACAGTTATTCGTTAGGAAAAAGATGCGGCGGCCAAGGTTCACACGGCCGCCATGGCTGCATAATCCCAACAGCCCTCTGGGCGCAGGTAGTCTAGGGCGTTTCGTCTTCCAGTGTCCTCATCAAACTTTTCCCACCGCCCTTCCCCCTGGGGTCTGACCCGCCCCCTCCACCAACCCCTCCACTCCACCTTCCCCCCCCGCACCGCCCTCCTCCGCCCCCCCCATCCACCCCCCCTTCCAACCCTCCATTGCCCCCTCCCCACCCCCCCTGCACCCGCCCGCCCACCCCCCCTCCACCCCACTCCTCCGGGCCCCACATCCACCCACCAACCCGCCCGCCCCCTCCGGAATCTCCAGGGGCCCCGCGAAAGCTCAGAATTGTGCCGGATGTGTGCCGTCTGCTTCCTCAGCCCCACGCTCGTTGCCCTCCACCCGCAGACCCCCTCGCCCACCCCCGCCCCCTCCCCCCCCTCTCGCCCGCCAGCCCTGCATCGGCCCATGCTATGGGGGTCGCCAGGACATGGAACGCGCGACGCGCGCCTCTCTCATCTCAGCCCTGCGCGCTTCGACGCCATCGACAGCAAGAGTGGGGAACGCATTCTACATTCCTGATAGCGCTGGAGAGACAGCGCCGAGCGCGTCGCCCCCTCTCTCGGGCGACGCGGCCCGTGCACGCCCCAACGTGCGACGCCGAAGGCTTCGGGGGGCCCCCGATGAAAGCGCGCGCTCGCGGCTCCGCGCCCCGAGGGTCACGCGCTCGCGAGTCGCCCCCGAAGAATCAGAGCACGCGCCGCCCGCGCGTCAGGGCTCGGCAGGAACCGGGCATCCGCGCCCCTTACGGGCCGAGCTCGGACGCGCCGCGCCGCGTCGCAGGAAGTAAAGTGGCCGCGCCGAGCGCGTCGCGCGACGGGCACCCGCTGCGCCGAGCGCGAATCGCGCGCGCAAGACGAGCTTCCCAGCGGCAGCGCTGAGCGCGCCGCGAGGTGCCGCCCACTGCGCCGAGCGCGAATCTCACGCTGACTGCGCATTGCAACCGGCAGACATCCTGTGCCGAGTGCGACGTCGCCGGATTGCCCGCGGCGGCAGCTTGCGCGGACCGCGAGCGCGCCTCGCGGGAAAGGCTCGCCCGCCTAGTGGAGGCGGCGCCGGCCGTCGCGGCGCCGAGCGCGATTGAATTAATCCCTTCGCCCGCCGGAGATAGTCCTCGCTGTCGGGGCCCATTGCATCCTCGCGTTTACTCCCGGGCTGCGCTCGTGCTGCGCGGCGACGATGTCAGCGGGGCCCGGCGCAGATTCCACCGGCGCCGCAGCGTCGCGCTTCCGCGCGCGCTGCGGCGACGACGCGCGGGCGCGCCAGCTCCGCGCGTCGTCGCCGCTCCAAGACGGCTGAGAGAGCTCCAAGGCGGCCCGCAGTCTCCCCCCTGACCCCTGACCCTCCCCCACCTCCCCCTTCCTCGTCGTCCTCCTCCTCCTCCTCCTCGTCCACTTCCCCCTCCCCCTGGCTCCTCCTCGCCACCCCCCTCCTCTCGGTCCTCCTCAGCGCGAGCTCGTCGTCCTTCTCCCTCGCCTATCCTCCTCCTCTTCCTCTCCCCCCCCCCGTCGCAAGATGCCGGCGGTCCCCCTCATTGCCCCCGTGTTTCCTTGATCGTCTCATTTTGCTCGGGCGTCGGTTTGGGATGGGCTGGCGGGGGCGCGCGACGCGTCGACAAGTTGCAGCGCTTTGCGAGGCTTGGGACACAGCGCAGTGGATTTAACAAACGGTGGCCGCCGCGGCGCACGACACCTGCGGGCGCTGATCG